GCTGAAACACATTTCAAGTGGGGACCTTCTCTCTGTCTTCCCTGTACTTTCCTAGTGCAATCCCTAAAAGAGTTTTGCAATTGCCTGATTGTTCTGGCTCTCTATGGCAGTCACCATACAGTTAGCAGTGATGTTTATAAAGATGTGTCACCCTCTTGCTTAAAAGGTCTCAAGTGCTCCATACTGCCTACAAATAGAGAATCCTATTTCCTTCATATGGCAAACAAGGTCCTTTACAATCTGGCTTTATCCTCTGTTCCTAGTCTCAGTGACTCCTCTGAAGAGCTAGAGCCATAGCCAACAATTCATCTCAACCTAACCAGCCATGCGTTTTAAGAAGCTGCATGCCACTGTATGTGCTTTTCCTACGTCTGAGAAAACTGTCCTCTCCACCTCCAGACTTAGAAAACTAAGGCTTTGATGAAATGACACCTTACTTATCAATATTCATTCAGCAAGAAAACGTACTTAGTACCAAAATGTGTAAGGAAGGCCCTATGAAAATAAAGATACATAAGACATCGTTCCAGCACTTGAACTTATATCCAAAAGGAGAAAGACACGTTAAAATAAAATAATAATACGGTACATTATGAGTAATATGTATAAGATAGAAGGAAGCAATGCCTAGGCTGGGTTCTATAGGATATGGATTTCTCTGTCTCCATCCTTACCATTTTTAACTGGACCAGGATCATGGTAACTATAACCTTTATAATGAGCTCTTAATGATACTCAATACATTGTATTACAGTCCTGTGTTTAATATCTATCTTCCCGAAGACTGTAATTCTAGGGCAGGAATTTACTCATCCTTTGTATCCTCAACACCCAGAGGGTGACCAGAATACAGAAGAACACAATTGTTCATTGAACTGAATTTAATAATAAGGTCTCTATATTAGCCAAAAGCCTTCTTAACCCAAAATGTAATTGAACTATAATAGCAAGAGAACCCTAGAACCTAATCATATTTACAACAATGCACTGAGAAGTCAGGACAGCTCTAACTTGAAATTATCCAGTACTTGAAATAGAGAAATCTACTTCCCACCTAAATCTGTAAGCAATACTGATATTCTGCTCCAAATGCAACAGTATTTCTTTCTCTGACATCCCCACAGGAACTAGTCTATTGAGTTCAAAAAATATTGGGAGGGCTTCCCTGGTGGCGCAGTGGTTGAAGAGTCCGCCTGCCGATGCAGGGGACACGGGTTCGTGCCCCGG